TGTTAAACACACTGGTCCCAGTATCGACCCCTGAGGAACACCACTTGTCGCCGGGCTCCACCTGGACATGGAGCCATTGACCACAACTCTCTGAGTGCGACCATCCAGCCAGTTCCTTATCCAGCCAGTGGTCCTTCCATCAAATCCATGTCCCTGCAGCTTAGAGACAAGGGTGTCATGTGGGACTGTGTCAAAGGCTTTGCACAAGCCCAGGTAGATGATGTCCGTTGCCCTTCCTCTATCCACCAGCGCTGTGGCCCTGTCACAGGCCACCAAATTCATCAGGGACAATTTTCCCTTGGTGAAGCCGTGTTGGTTGTCACCAATCACCTGCTTGTTTTCCATGTGCCTTGGCACAGATTCCAGGAGGATCTGCTCCACGAAAAACCTGGACCTTATTGCTTATGTGACTTTTGTCCTTTATTCCACTCTTGTCTGAGTTATTTTCCCTTAAATTAATTCATGTGGGGCTTTGATCCTTCCATTCCTTATTCAGACACTAGATAAGAAGAGCTTCTCAAGGGTATTACATGCTGCTCGAAACCACTGATAGCAGGGGAGTTCAAACACAACACAAAACTTCAGAAGCCTGTTCCAATTGTCAATTTTATTCGAAAGGTATCTTTTAAACATTTTTAAGTATCTAGAAATAAATATGAAAGGCCTATACAAATATGAACACTTAGAGTACCAATACTGCCCTTCATTTTTTATACTCATCTTTCAACACTTAAAGGGAAAAAACGGCATCACATATTTAGTGAAACAAATTTTACAAAATCTCAGATCACAAAGGTCTGTTCAAGTCTAACAAAACCTTTTAGACCAAGTTTTATTTTACATATATGCAACCTCAACATAAAATATGTTCAGCTGCCTTTCAGAACTTCACAATAGAGTCTGATGTACATTTTCCTCAAGATGAACAGTAAAAACAAAGTCATACTTAAGTCATACTCTGATGTAGGAATTTGGCATTATCACTTTTAATGACATACTGTGTTAATATTTAAAAAAAAAACATTCTGATAAATTAAAAGGACACAATCTTGCCTCCAAATAAAGCCCAAGTCACTAAAAAAAACTTCAGAATGGACACTTGCATTTACATAACATGATTCTTCCCCAAGCTTTAAAAAAAAAATGAATTCAACACTACATAAAATGCTTTTTGACATAAAATAACATCATAAAATAAGTAAAGTTTTTGCTTTTTGTAAACTGTAATTTATAGACTCTTTCTTTTTTTTACAAAGTGATATTATTCTAACATCGGGCATCATCTACGTACACTTATGTAATCCCTCTAATTTACATATTTAAGTGAGTATAAAGCAAAGCACATTCTTAAATGGTGGGAGGAATGGTTACTAAATTGAATACAACTGCTCTTTCAAGAGTTGGGGTTTTTTGTTATTGGTTTTTTTTCAACAATATTGAAAGAAGACCATAATATAGCAAAAACCTCTTTTGTCTTTCTTTCAGGAATTTGTCCTCATCCGAAAACTAAAGAGTTCCCAGCTATTAATTTACGAACTTAGATTAAACGTGCTAGCAATCAGAAGAAGTATTTAAGATATTTCCTATATGGACAATAGAAGTGTAGGCTTTAGTTCTGAAAAAATCTAATATAATTTACTGTAAGTGCACAAAAGCCCTATCCTGCAACTCTTTCCTGTTCATTCAATTGTTTTCACTTAGGGAAAAGTATATAGGATTTCCCTCTCAACCCCAATTTAGTTACTTAAATAACTGTGTTTGAACAATATGGATGTTTAAGAGTTTACATATATATTAGATTTAAAGGGTATTTGGGAATGTCTATCTATGCTTTTCAAAAGAACTACTACTTCCAAGTTGTACTCATTTTTTCTTCCCTTCAAAATAAAGCTTTATGAGCTCATGTTACTAACCAGTACTCTCATTTCCACTTCTTAAAGTTTAAATGCTTGGCTCATTCTGTCAAAGGAGAATTTGCAGATTCACTGAGAACTACACGAGACAACACTCTGCTCAAGAACAGATATCCACGATGGCTTGGACCAGCAGCTGTGCCGTAGGGTTCTCGTTCACCGCGCTGGACTAGTTTCCATAACAAACTTCCTTCGTTCACTGCAGTTCTCAATCCATTTTCACTCCTGCAAACTCCTTCTGAGCTCACCCAGGAAAACCAAACACCATAGGTTTTGCAAGCATAGCTAGAGACTCTGAGGCCACAGAAGGCTGTTTTTCAGTGGCACGAGAGTTACAACCTAATGAAAGTTTTCACAAATGCTGCACAACAGTAACCTGGTCTCCAAAACCTAGTTACAGTGATGATGATCAAGACAGTAAGACTCTAGCTCTGCAGCGCGTCTAACATTCAGGTTAAAGAGCAACCATGGGCGGGGAGGAGGAAAAGAAAATAAAAGACAAGAGACCGTGTACATAAAGACTTGCAGTGTCATTTTTGTGGAAAAAAACAAAACAAAACAAACAAGGAAAAAAAAAAAAACAAACAAAAAAGCACTTTCAAGGTAGGAATGCATTTATCAAAAACTAAGTTTTGCCCCATTACAAATTATTTAAAGTTTGGGTTCCTGAGCTTGATACTGGACAGGGGGAAGGGCAAGGGGCAATGTCTTGTATCTTAAATTATACAGCAGTATCATTAGGACAGTATTTAAAACTATTATTAGAAGAATGAATAAGTTACAAATATGACTTTAAGAATATTATAACTAATTATTAGTTTACTCTGAAGACCTTAATCTTCTTTCTTTTGTGTTTGAAATCGTTCCATTAAAGCCCTAAATATATTTCCTGGTATTTTCTGATGTTTTTCTATTAGAGCCTGGAGTGCAGCTTTTGTCTGTAAGGAAAAAGTAAAGTTTTTGTCAAACTAAGTCATCTTTATATTGCTCATATGTCAGCACAATTTCTAGGCTCTTCATCCTTTCAAATGTTGCAGAACTACTACAAGTTCAAAATACTATTTTTTCAGATTTAAGCCCACAGGATGTGTGTTCCCACTATTTATATGAAATACACAATCAACTGTTAAGTCCTGGAAGAAGGTTCCTTCCTTCTCTTTGTAGATCTGGTCCTAAATCTCTCTTCAGATCTAAAATTTCTACTAGGTAAAAACTGTGAGCGTAATTTTTTCTATATGTAATGGGAAATGCATACTGTGCCATAGCCTAAAACATGAGATAAAACATTAAAATCATTCAAACTTACTAGGATTCTAGGGGATTCGCATTCTAGGGACCTTATCTAGCAGAATTTGCACTTCAGTTAGAAGCAAGTAAGGGTTCGCAGGAATTTAAGATGCCAAAGCATGTCTGAAAGTCATTTAAAAATACATTCTCTCTCGAAAGCCAAAAGTTCTGAAGTCCTGTCAGACTGAACCCCCAAAAGAAACAATCAGTCTTCCATAACCAGGGCATAAGATAATGCAGATAAACATTTTAAGAAGTCATTTTGCAGAGATCTAATCAGAGGGTGAACAGATGAGGCGAGACAACTGAACTGACACCTGCATGGGCCAAGAGAAAAATCTCTTTTCTCTCAAATGAAGTTTTCCGAATGCTAAAAGTGACCATCTGTGGAGCGCTCAAAACGGGCTGTTTCAGCCCTCTCCTTCTGACTGCTCCATCACACAACTGTTTTATGTCTGCACTGAAATTCCATTAATAAACTGAATGAACACGAGGACCCGACTCCTTTCTATAAACCACCTAAACCTGAACTAGGGGAACATTCCAGAGTTCATATGTTGGGTGAGAATTTGGAGGAAACAGAAGTGGAAACACACTGTACAAAGCAGTGAGATGATTTATTTTATTTTTTTATTGTATGGAATTTCAAGTTTGTGAACACAGATTTGCTACATTTGAAAGGCTTCATCAGTGTCTTTCTGAAAAAGACCAAGATCCAGAACACTCCCTCTGGGTGAAGTGCTGACGACTTTATCAACCCAGAGCAGCCTTATCTGACTGAACTTCTTCAGTCCCTAGTGGAAGTTGTTTCTCAAAGCAAATCCAGGGTGCAGTATTGACTTTAAAAGGCCTAGAACATCTGCAAGCTTTAGCAATAAAAAGACAGCATTTCAGAAGGGCATTCAGAGTTAAGCAAGTCCAAACCTTACCATGGTTCCACCAACTTCTATAACTAGCTCCAAGGCAGAAATCACTTGACGAGAATATTCCAGTGTTTTCTATCCGAACAGTCAATAATTTAAACATATATATATACATATCTATCTTACCTTCGCTGTTAGTTCCTCAGCAGTTATATTTGGTTCATATGGAATGGGTTCTCCGATAAATGTACGAAGCTTGACTGGAAACCCACCGTACAAAGGAACTACTGGCAATCTAATACGTTCGTATAGTGACCTAAATATTTCTAACGTGAAAAAATTTAGGGGGAAGGAGGACAGAAGGGGAAGGGGGGAAGGGTGGGGAGGAGAGAGAGAGAAAAAAAAAAAGAGAGAGAGAAAGATTATTCTGTAAAGTTTTTTTCCCCCACTATGTCTTAAAACTGAAACTGGCTTGGCAAGTAATCCAGCCCCTGACCCAGATTCTCAAACAACGTGTCATCTCAAGTGCTATTCTACCCTTGACTTTCATTTCCTAAAAGCTGCATTAATGCTAACAGCAGACATGTTTCCACCCTCACTTGGTGTGAAATCTCTCCTCCAAAGAGTAGCTGCAAAGAGAAGGAAGAAGAGTAGAAAAACCCAGTAGCTGCCTCTCTGGAGAAGAAGGGAGTGCGACACAATACAGGTTACAGTTCAGCTAATTTCACAGGTGAGCATAAGAAATTAGAATTGCAAGACTGTTCTGTTCACTGCCGCTGGGGTCTAGAGGATCAGAAATAGTCTTATCTGCCTAAGGACAGTCACAGTAAAACACTGAATTGCTCTTTCTGATCACACGCAGGTTGCAGTGAAACAATATAAAAAGAGAGAAAAAGCAGGTATTTCAAACAGCTCTAAGAGGACACATCTTCTTCCCCACTGCCACCTTCTAAGCATCTAGCTGCAATGCACCCAGAAAACATTCCTTGCAGAATGGGTGCTAATATTCTCTCTCAATTTTAGACAAGAAATTCCTTTAACTAAGGTGTTGGCATAAGAAAATCCTTATTAACCCAGATGTGGAACTTTCTGTACACAAACTGTAAGAACAAAGAATATTCCAAAACTACTGAAACTGGAGTAACGCATCCACTGATCAACAGAATCAAATTCCTCTTGCACTTCTGCTGTAGAACACAAGTAACATGAATGATCTGGGCTTAAATTTATGCTTGTTTGGGAAGATTCTCCTGAACATAGCAACAATTAATTGCTGTTTATTTTTGTAGAACCTGACAAATGTGTGAATTATTCTTTGTGTCTCCATCTGACGCCTCGGCTTTCCCCATGAAATATACAGCTTTTAATTAGAAGGGGAGAGAAACAGAACTGTTTTGTGCAGCAGTGCTCTGATGAAGATGATGATGCCATGTTTGAGGCAGAACACATGGCATGGAGGAGACTGTTCAGGCCCTTTCTGATAGATAGTAAGTCGAAGAATAGAAAAAAGTGGGTTTAACACAAGCAGATCAGCAGAGATGGGGGCATCTAATCACCCCAGAGCTGGACCCTTCAGACACACCCATCTACTCCTGTGCTGGCTGGAAGTTCCCACGAGAGGAGGAACGAGAGCAGGAAAATGCAAGGTTTTGTGAGGAACCACAGTTTTAGTGCTGAACAGTAAACCAACTACAGATTAAATAGATTTCAAATGATTCCAAGTTTAAATACCGGTAGAGGTGTAAGCACAGAGCTTTAGGAGGACATTTAAATAAACTGTTGCAAACCCCTGGTTGCTTTGCTTCTTAACAAACAGATAACCTGGAGGTGGCCAAGCACAATAAGCAGAGAAAAACATTAAATCTATTTGCCTTTTTCTGGCTCCTTTTTCCTTTTTTCTTCTGCTTCTGTGAAGGCACATTGTTATGCAGAGACTGATGAGCCAATATCACATCTAATGCTGATATTAAATCCTAATAACATCTCTAAACTCTACCAGAGAGTAAACCTCCAGAAACAAGGTTGTGTCAAATCTCAAATTTGTATGGGGATTATTTCTACAGAGATAAGCTAAACACATATGGAAAAATAAACTACAAAAAAATAGAAAATGTCTTACTTATTCCTCCTAATGTCCTAACGCCTTCTCGAACATTTTGTGTAAACATAGGAATGATGGGCTAGGAGGGAAAAAAAATAATTAAGAATTTAATGAAGATAGCACTATCTAAAAAACTTCTACCTCACTTAAACCCAACAAGCAAATTAATTTCCGAAGTGTTTGTCAGACAAGGACAAATAGAGAGCAAAACAAGGATCCCTAAATTCTTCTGCCACTTTCTGCCATGAAGTTTCTGGCTGGAGAACAGCATGAGATTTCAGCGAGTCACTTTTTCAGCAAATCCATTTTCTCAAAGCAGGGCAGGACTTCAGAACCTACAGAGCATTTAGGCCTCCCCTCATCTAGCAGTGTTTGCACATTTGTGTCTTAAGTGGTTAAACCTCTTGCCTAATTTGTAGTTATGCTCAACAGGAAGAAATCACAGGATTGGGACCTTAAACTTATCTGAATCATCTCTGCTATCCCAATTGTATTGCTTCACACATGATGAGTCATATTCAATACACGTCCATGATTTATTTCTGCTGATTAATATTTGGAATTATGTTAATATTTCACATTTTTATTGCTGTTTTTAAACTTGCCAACAGCTGTCAAGATTTACATGAACTGGGAGTCAACTACCACACAAAGTTTTTTAATATCATTTTATGTATGTACTCACTGTACACAGCATCCTCAGAAACACAGAACTCTTTCTGGGATTTTCAAACATTCAGACTCTTTCAAACTTTTATAAATAAGCATGGAGAAAAGCTAGTAAATGAAACTTTTCAGACAGGTATCAAGTTGGTTTTTTTGGGGAAAAAAAAAGTCTGTAAATAATCCAGTGCAACTATAGAGAATAAAAAGAAGTGCAGTTGCCTAAACCAAATGGTAACAAATTTCTGTATTCTAGAACCATCTTATTTGGAACATTTTACTTCTGACAGACAGGTAGAGATTTTTGCATGTACCAAGTTGGTTTATATGACACATGCTCCAGCAAACAAACTGCTGAAACGAGACAAGCTCAAGAATTTGAAGGTCCCAGTTTTAGACACATTTTTCCTTCCATGAGGAGTTATACTCACGATTAAGGGTGATTAAAGCTCATCTTTCAGCTCAATAAAGGTATTTTCCCCGCTTTCAGCCTGCCTCTGACACTATTCCTATTCTACTGCATTTCTCAGGTTTTTTGTGGGAGAGGATGAAGCTGCAAGATCTTTGTGAGTGTGCAAAGGGAACTGAATGTACATTCAATAAAATAAATACAAGTACAACCATAGTTGAATCCCAAGTATGGCTTTTCATATGCTATTACAATACATTAGTAAGATCTAAAACTGTTGATAATATCCTGTTGAAACTGTGCTATTTTCCTTCTGAGAAAAGTGACACGCACTTGAAATTGGGTCTGTAAAGTATTCTATTTCTGTTTAAAATCCAGAGATTTAACTGGTGTCTGTATGACAGTACCTAAATATAAAACTCTTGGTGTGAGACTTACTTTCAGATTAGGTATATGCAGCCCTACAGACATACGCACACATCTTTCCAGTATAAATACAGAATGAGAGGGACTCTGAAAGGATTATTAAAATCCTGCAATTCAGACAATGTCACACACCTATGTGCCTTTCACCGTTGGTCCCATATGAACAATTATCTGCTAGCTGACCAAGCACAATGCTATATACTAGAACTGAAGAGAAACAGTTCACACTAGTGAACAGCATCTCCTGCTGCTGCTGTGTGCCCTAGACATCCCTTACTACCAGAAAAATGCCAATACAGCACATAGTGCCAGTGAATCTACACTGTGCTCGGTCGCAGTGTATTTCAGTGATGGGGAAACAGAACTGTTGATGTATAGTTGCTTCCCAACCATTTCGGTCAGGGGTTGAGCCATCACAACTCTGACCAGGTATGTGTAAAACAGCACAAGCTTGTAATACAGAAACCATCCTGGATTTCATCTCTCATTCTTTTAAACTCTGGATTTTCTGACCACACTATTTCTAGCTGACTCCAAAGCCTTCTTACAAAAAGCAACAAAAAGAGTCTTGAAATATAGTTACGAGAGCAAGCAGACCATATTCATGACACTCAGCAATGTTAACACCAAATCTAAGAGAATCAAAACAGCTTTCCTTGGAAGAAAGTACTAATAAATTAGCATTCTTTGCTTCTCTTCTGTGATCTGTCCTACTTACCACTTTTGCATCAATGGCCACCTGAGCAAAGCCCTTCCGACTACCCCAGATAATAGTATACATTTCATCACTAAAGAGTGCTTCCCGAACTCCACCTGGGGCAATAGCTATCAGACAGCCCTTCTTCAGAGCCTTGACACATTCTTCTTTTGGTCCATGCATAACTCCATGCACATCGAGTAATAATTTAAAACCTGCAGGGTAAGATAACATTCATTCAGAAAGTGTTAATACATACTACCCTGGAGTACAGGTTCCCAACAAAGAACACAACAGCTAAAACTTACTTGTCTAATAACCTGTAAGCCCAAATCAAAGATGTTTCTAGAGTCTAAAGCATGATGTCCTGCTTACCAATTTTGGTCTAAAAAGTTGAAGATTTAGGGTTTCCAGTGGCTTTTTGTCATAACAAAGTCAGGTGCTATCAAGACTAAACTGCAAAAAACTGGCAAGCACTCTGTGCTTTCACGTGTCCCTTCAAAGGAGTTGTTAAGTTGGCTCCAAGGCACCATCTCCTTGCCCAAGATCTACTTTTCAAATGTAGCACAGTCCTAAAAAGAGTGCAACAAGAGAAAATACCAGCAAATCGTTGTGGTTTTTGTTTTGTTAACTTTGGCAAATCAAGAGCAGTCTGTGCACAAGAAGGAGAATGACAAAGAAATCGCAGCATTCTCTGTTACAGATCACTGCAGGAATTGACCCCCTGGTTCAGCCTGTGAGTACCCAGATGGCCTTTCGCACAGAGGCATCTGCCAAGCCTGGATTGGGAATATTCATTTTACGTTAAGATTTTTCATTTATTGAATTTTTTAATTGTGAAGTTACATAAACTCCTCATATCACCTTGAATTTGCAATGTCATACTGACCTTACTCTTCAAGAAACAGCAGAACATCAAAATTTTGCTTACAAGCATCAAATGGGCACATACCTGATCAGTTTAGATAACTAGTCTAATATAAAAGAACATAACTAGCCTAACGTAACCTCTGTTTGCAGGAAATCAATCACGTTCACTTGGTTCAATAAATTTTAAATTTATACAGTATTCATGAGTATTGCATACCAAAACAGGAACTTTAGATGACTGAGCAGTACAGGAAAGATTACTTTTCCTTCTTGAACTTTCCCACTGAGGCAAACAACCTTGTCAGCCACGGACAAAGACACAGAACTGATATAGTTGAGTTTGCCCTCAATAGGAGATCTTCATTTTTTAACCTCAGGTTAACAAATTAATAGTTGTTACTATAAACACACATTTGTTACATGCACACACACACACTGAGGAAGAGTCCAAATACAGTTAAGAAGACAGAGATCTGGCTTCCCTTACAGCCCGCATAAGCAAAAGGCTTGGGAAGGAGAGCATGAGGCAGCATATCAGTAGTTTATTCTTAACTAAACTCTGATCTCTAGCTAGTCCTTGTAGCAAGTGCGAGTATAATGACTCCTGATTTCTATCTATACACAACCAGGATCTGTCCATAAACATGACAACAGAACACAAGCTCTGTTATACCTGTCTTGTATTCTGCTGTGACTGCCTTGCACGCTGCTGATGGCACTAGCAGTCTTCAGCTGGTGGTATCTGCACAGAGGACACCTGAAATAGAGTTTTCCTAACGTAATTTAATTTCTCTCAGGGGCTTTATTCATGGGATCTTAAATACCTGGTTTTTAAAATGTTTTACATTCCCAAACTAATGAAAGCTCTCTGGAATGCCCTGGTGGTAGGAAGCTGCCTGTTTCTAAGCCCCTTCTGTCAAGGGAGTTCAGGAGAGAGACAAAACCATCATGAGAAGTGCTGAGCCAAGCAGGAAAAGAGACTCCAAGGAACCAGAAGCGGTGAAGATAGTTTTCCTTTCTGCATTGGACATGCTGGGGAAGGGTCGTCGTGGGGTGTGTGATAAAGCAACACCATGAGTCTGTCCCGTTCACAGGCGTATTGGGTCTGGCTGAGATGGAGTCAGTACCCCCCCAGCACCCTCCCAGTGCTGAGTGCTGCCCTGGCAGCCAGGAGGGTGTTTATAACACAGCTGGGGAGGGGGCGGAGCTGGGACAGCTGACCCGGATTGGCTGGACTGCTGCCCTGCCATACCAGCCAAGGGCAGGAGGAGGAGGGGGGCATTGGTTACTGGGTTTGTCTCCGGGAGCAGCCGCTACACACACTGAAGCTCTGCTTTCCTGGGAAGTGGCCGGACATGGCTTACTGAGGGGAAGCAGAGAATAACATCTTTGTTTACCTTTTGTTTCTGTGCGTGACCTTGGCCTTTGCTTTAATTAAACTGCTTTTATCTTGACCCACAAGTTTTTCATCTTATTCTCCCCCTTTATTTCGCTGAAGGGGGAGTGATAGAGGGGCCTGGTAGGCACCTGGCATCCAGCCAAGGTTAACCCACCATGACAGGTCAGAAGAGGAAAAAAAAAAATACCAAAACCAGAATACAGACAGAATACACACAAAAAGTTGTAGAACAAAATAGTGGGGGGGTAGGGTTTCAAGTCTTCACAAAATTTCTCAGCCATATTTCCCCCCTTGACTTTTTGTATAAACCTTACATTCTGAGCTGTACCTCACAGCCTAGCCAGCAGATCATACATTCCTCTCAGCATCTCGACTCCAGTAGCAAAGAGGAAGAACCTGGCTCCATTGGAGCAGCAGAGAGACAGGAACTAGTGCCGTGTCCCTGAAGGGACAGCCACGGTGTTCCGTGCCCAAGGCAGAGGCCATCACGGAGTCCGAAGAAACAGGGGGTAGTACCTGGCTGTTGCATGAAAGTGACCAAGAATCTATTTTTCCACTTTAAACAACAAAACAGCTCTCAAAATTATCTAAACACAGATTTTCAGCCTTCCAGAGCATGAAGTCATGTTAATTTTTCCAAATGTCAAGAAATCCAAAATTAATTTTATTCCACAGTTCAACCTGGACTCTGCCCTTTGCCCCAGTACACTCTTCTCATATTTTCCACAACACTGTGTCCACACCAATCTTTGAAAACCCTTTGGAGAGTACCCAGTAATGCATTTAACACTTATCTCAGTAAGCGCACTATATACATTTCTCTAAGTTAGCCCCAGTGACTGTGATGTAGGGGCTGTCCGCTACCTGGTGGCAAGAGGGCAAGGATCTCATTTTTCTATAGTTGACCTTTACGACCACAGAGAGGAATCATTCAGACCACTGAATCCAAACTTCCACACTGTAGGTAACCAGACATGTATATCCGCAGAACATTCAGCCTACGAGACACTTTGCAACAACTTGTGTATGAAACAGGCAAGAAGCCACAGCTTGTTTCCTCTGGGACATTACAGGACAAGGACTGTCTTGGATCCTTAATATCAGACAACATTTTAAAGAGGCTCCCAGATGACTCTAGGAAGCAAACATGGCCCATACTATAGCAGCGGGTGATGGAGAAGAACACAAGTGAAATCTCAGTCCTCACTGCACTCTTTGGGAAAAGATCTTCTCTTAACTCAACCTTAGAGAATCATAGAATCATATAATTGTTTGGGTTGGATTAAAGATCATCTAGTTCCAACCCCCCTGCCATGGGCAGGGACACCCTCCACTAGCCCAGGTTGCTCAAAGCCTCATCCAGCCTGGCCTTGAACCCCTCCAGGGATGGGGCATCCACAGCTTCTCTGGGCAACCTGTTCCAGTGTCTCACCACCCTCACAAGAAAAAATTTCTTCCTAATATCTAATCTAAATCTGCCTTCTTCCAGTTTAAATCCATGTCCCCTCATCCTATCACTACATGCCCTTGTAAAAAGTCCCTCCCCATCTCTCCTGTAGCCCCCTTTCAGCACTGGAAGCTGCTCTAAGGTCTCCCCGGAGCCTTCTCTTCTCCAGGCTGAACACCCCCAACTCTCTCAGCCTGTCCTCATAGGGGAGGTGCTGCAGACCTCAATGTACAAAAATCAATGTATTCCTGAGCATTATACAGCTAAGAATCTAAAAGAAACAGAAAACATTGAAATGTGGGTTTTTGGTTTTTTTTTCCTATGACTAACCTCCGGTATTTAAAAGAAAAAGGAAAAAAAAAGGAAGCCACAGGACCATATTTCATATCCTTCTGCCCCAAAATGCAAGCAACAGAAGCATATAGTATTGATATATATTATTGATACACTACAAATTGAGACAATTAAATAATTTCCTTTGCATCAATGTGAAAGAAAAATGCATTAGGCAATGTTCAAGAGGAATCTCCACATACCTACATGAAGTCTCCTATTAGGTTAGATTCCCTTCCGCAAGTTATCAAGCTGTATCTTTCAAGACTAAGCAGTAGGGAGAGACATGTTTGACCCCCTGCAGGCTCATACATCCCTTAAGAGGCATAGCAACATTTTACAAACACACTCCAGTTAATTGTGTTTAATTTCAGCCAGCAGTGCCCAACACAGAGGATGCAATGAGACTGCATACTGGCAACTGCATACTGGCATGGACCTGAAATTCCAGTTCATGGGACAAGCCATTCCTCAGTTATTCACAGTAGATTCAATAATCATAAAAACAGAAGGATCATTGAATCATCTAATCCAACTGTGTCTAACAGCCTACAGACTCCCCAAGCCCACCCCCCATTCCACCGCCCCATTTCTCCTGCATTGACCATAATAACATGGTCTGGGCTACCAGTCACAGACTATTGTGCAGATTTTGAAACACAATCCAGAACATTATCTGGGCTCTTTGGGCTTGTCTTCCCTGAATAGCCTTAATTCATTCACACACACAGGTTGGAAGGTCACCTAGTCCAACCTCCCACTCAAAGCGGGTCCAACTAGATCAGGCTGCTCCGGGCCTCAGCCAATGGAGTCTCCAGGGCTGGAGATTCCCCAACTTGTTGAAGCAATCTGTTCAAGTGTCTGATCACCCTCATGGTAAAATACCTTTCCACACGTCTAATCAAAACTTCCTGTGTTGCAACTTGTCTCTGTTGCTTCTCATTCTACTGCTGTACACCTGTGATAAGAGTCTAACTCCCTCTTCTCTGCACCCTCCTGTTAGGTCACTGAAGACAGCAATATCTTCCCACCCCTTATCTGGTACAGACAAAGTAAATGTAGTTCTCTCAGCCTCTCCTCATACATTGTGTGCTCAATCTCCCCATCATATACTGAACATGCTTTAGTGTGTCCATGTCTGGCTTATAATGGGGAGTCCAAAACCTGGCACCATATTGTGAGATGTGCTTGCACAGGTGCCAAGCCAAAGGAAAAAAACCTCTTCACTCAACCTGCTGGCTACACTCCTGCTAAAAAAGGCTCAGCATGCAGGTCACCTTCTTTGCTGCAAGGGCACAACTGCTGACTCACGTCCAACTTGTCCACTAGAATGCCAAAGTCCTTTCCAGCAGAGCCACTGTCTACCCCGGATACTGTCACATGGGATTGCTCCATCCCAGATGCACAACTTCACATCTGCTTTTGCTGAACTTCACCATGTTTCTGCCAGTTCATTTCTGGGAAGGCGCTCTACACACCAGCTCTAACCCCCAGTGTATCAACTGCTCCCCCAGTTTGGTACCATCAGTGAACTTTCTGCAAGCACACACCACCCCCTCATCCAGGTGTGCAATACAAATATTAAGCAGTGCTGGTCCTGGGATCAATCCCTGAGGAATGCCTGTAGAAACTAGCTGTTAGCTAGACACTGTACTGCTGAACTCCATTCTTTGAGACCAGGCATTCAGCCAGATGTCTCTGCGATGCCAGATGTCTCTGCAATGCTACTGAACGGTATTTGGGTGGCTCGTAAGTATACTCACACCTAGAACCTTATTTTAAAGCAGAAATGGAGAAAAACAACATAATCTCCCATTTGATAAACAACTGTGCATAAGTATTAATAGATACAATATGCAGCCAAATCTATATTACAAAATAGGTTACGTATGCAATAGATTTTATAATCAACTGACAAATTGCAGTCTGTTGGCAAAAGCAGTTGCAGAGGCAAAGCCATGATGTTATCAGTATGAAAGAGTTCAGTTTTCAGGGATTAAGGCTGAAATAAAACTATACTGGCAGAAGGACAGTTTTCTGATATGGGTTGTTTCCACTAAAAGCATCAGTAGGGAACACTCCTGTAAATGCACAAAATGAATTACGAGGCTCTTAGTCACAAACTGAACTCGGGAAAAGAACTGGCTAATACTGTACTTCACACACACAAAAACCAAATCCCTCACAAAATTCATTTCATCAATCAGCAGTGTTTTTCACTAGGCTTCCCAGCCAAAATCTTGCCCTAAAGGTATTTTTCCTTTTCTTCACGCTTCACCTCATGTTTCACACAAACTTGTAGGACACTTCGTCTACAGCTTTCCTCCAAAAAAAATTCTACTTGGAACAGTCTTCTTGGGGACAGGTCCTACTGCCCACCATACTCAACTGGGTGGGCTGTGAAAATACATCATCTCCCCAGACTAGTATTGTCACCTTTAAGGGCATCGCTTCCAAACAGTTTTCTTAATCAGGTTACACCACTCATTCTGCCTATATTAATAAAAATAGAAACATCTTACTGAAGTCTTTGCTACTGATTAATACAGAGACAACTGTTTCTCCTATGATCTCCTTCTCTTTGTTTCTAAACACCCTAGAGTCGTTGCAAAGTGTTGGCCAGCCAGAAGTACGACCCATCCTTGCACTGGCCAGTCTCATAGACTCATTCTTGCTTGTAAAGAACATGTTAGAGACAGCTGTACTTCAACACTTTCATTAAATTTGTCTGAATACCTGTTCGGAGAGCTGTGGTCCTGTGGCACAATTTTTATTAATTACACCGTAATAAAAAATTAAGAGTTCTCAAATTGATTGTTTATAATGAAGTATGTTACCTGGTAATCTAAAGACGAAATGATCAGCTACTACGTGGCAGTATCTCTTCTTCTGTATAAGAAGTCTGGCCATGAAATAGACACAGTCAGCAGGAGTAGCTCCATGATAAAACACAATAAGCCCTGGTCCTTCAGGAATATTTTCAGCACCATGAAGCTCATAACCTGTTAGGAGTTAAAGGCATTACTGATGTGAAAGTTTGATATAATTCTATCCCAAAGAAACTAACTTGCAGCAAGTTGGCAAACAAACCGACAGCTACTGGGAAGTGGTAAGAGCAGTGTGACTGCTAAGAAGTCAAGAGGTGACTTGCTGCATTTACCAAGTTGTTCCACAGGAAATACAAGTTTCATTTAAAGCAGAAGAGCCACACTAAAAGAACAACAACAAAAAAACCATAAACACAGAACACCCGGTCTCACTGTCTTGAACTATACAATTTTCCCTTATTTTTACAGTTCACTTTCTTCAAGGCTGCAGTGTCCTCAGAATCAATCATTCAAAAGAAATCAAAAGAACGATTGGAGTGGTGAAAGACAACTATTTCAAGCTATTATTTACCTTTTGAAGTTCACTGCCATCAGTAACTTTTTTAAGAAGATTTGGTGTGACAACATCTATTTACATGTCTCCTTTTAGACCAGGGTATGAAGCTTATATTTGTTATTTCTCTCAAGAGTTATACTTGCTCCATTTTTCCATCACTAAGTACTAAAAGCTATTCAGGGCTTTATATGCTTAATTAAAACATACATAAACACACGCAAGTTTCTTACTGAACTTACATTTCTAATTAACAGTGCAGAATACACTCAGTTAACACAAAATATCAAAATAAATCAGTATAGAACATATTCAGTTAATATTCAGCAGTATTGTTACACTGTCTTGTGGGTTTTTGATAAAAAAACAAAATATAAGCATAAAATATAATATGAAAAAAATTAAACCCTGTCATTTCTTTCAAAAGTTAATCAGGTCTACAATTCCATTTCCATAATTTATTTTTTTTTAAATTTTGATGGTATTCTTGGCTCTTCTTTTTTTTTACTTTCTATACCTGTGGAGCTTCAAGATATTGCAAGCATATCGTTGTGCCATCCCAAGTTACCACTAACTATGCTCCATGCCAGACAACGATAACCAGAATGATACCTACACCCACCATTTTCATAATACATGCAAAGTTACAGGTATCACATACCAGTTTTGGGTTTGGGGTTTTTAGGTTGTGGGGTTGTTTTTTGTTGTTTGGTTTTGTTTTTTTTCCCTGATGCTGTGAGATTTCAGGATGAAAAGTTCTTCCTGTGATATATAGACTAATCCAGTGAGGGAAAAATAATCACCAAATATTTCATTCTTTAGCGAGAGAAGTGTATAGAGAACATGTAAGCAGCTGGCAGAGCAGAAAAAAAGTCACAACTGTTGATGAGGGACTGGACAAGAATCTTTTCTGAGCAAATAAAAAGTTAGACCCTTAAAAAAGAAAAAGTTACTAAAGAGCCAAGGCCTTAAAAAATCATTTTCTCATGGAAAAAAGTAAACAGCTTTTTATTGTGAAGTGAGCATTTTAAGCTCTTTGATGTAGCTGTTGATTTTGATCTAGTGTACTTTCCTAGATTTGAAAGTTACATCTTAGACTTACAAAGCCTATCTGATACAGCCGCTGCACCATCTGGTTATCAATGCCTTGAAAACCTGCTTCCCTTTGACTAGAGAACAAATAGAGATGATTTTCAAGAAGGATTTGTGCTTTATGTAAATTGCTCTTAAACATCTCTTTCTCCTTTAGCTGCATCTAGACTGAATGGTTCTGAAAGAGGCTTATGATTTCCTTAGAAAGAAAAGCCAAATCATTTATTAAGTCTGTCTTTATAGAAGAAATAATAGTAGAAGGACAAGGAAGAGAGCCCTTAGTTTTGACATTCTTAGTAGAGAAAGTAGTTGTCAAAAATACATAGGAAGAAAATAAAAAAGTAGGGTTCTGTAAGAGTTTTGGGCTCTAAAGTCAATTTGAAGCAGTAGTTCAGTGAGTGAACTGACACTAAGTGCTCCTTTTAGACATCATTTGGCATTATATGTAAAAGACTGGTTAAGTGCAATTAAATTATGCGAACGTGCTGACATACTAGCTATCGGGGAACTGGCATTTAACTTCCAATGTTCATATATTGACTCTGAAATAATATAGTTAATTGATCTAATTTTTAACACAGCAATCATTTCAGGTCCTCCGGGAATGAGGAAATCCAGGAGTAGTAACAAAAAATTTAAAAAATTAAACATTTTTAAAAATTGTATATATATTCAACAGGATGAAAGATCTCATTTTGTAGCACCAAAGGAATAAATGCATAAAACAAAAAAAAAAATTTACGTCCAATAAAGTCTCATTGGCTTTTTTTCTCCCAAGCACCACAGGCAGCCATTAATAAAAAAGAAAAAAAAAATGGCCTGAATGTTAGATTTCATGCAACAGCAGCAACAAGCAGATATATACTTAAAATCCTGAAAGGTAAACCAGGAATGAGAGCTTGAGTTATTAAACGAAAAGTCAGATCTCACCATGCCATATTCTTCCATGTCCATCCCATAGGGTAGCCAACATTTGTTTTGCGCCATCCCAAAAATCATTGGAATAAGCTTCCTTTAGTTCATTCTTCCTTTTATAAATATGAAGAAGGAGAATGGAAGTGTAGAAGAGGATGATGATACCTCCCGGAAGCAGAAGAACTAGTGCGAGTGGAAAAAACACCCACAGAAGGTAGACTGCATAACTCAGATACTCTTCAATATGCTCCACGCCAGTCCATTCTCCCAGAATGGAAGTCAGGCAAGTCAAGTAGGACATAGGTATCGGTCCTGCACTACAGGATTCATTTCCACCTACCATCTCCTGTTTGATTAAAAAAAAAAAAAAAAAAGGCAGATTAATAAATCCTCAAAAAAGACAGACCTGCCTATACTGTTTAGTCATACAAAAAAACCCTCTGATGCATTTTGTTCATATACCAGTTACTCCACATGCCAGAAGAAGCTATTAGAAACAGTGGTTCGTACAGCAAAACTCTTACCCGATTTTTTCAAGCCTTTTCTTTTGCATAGTGGAAATGCTGGCAGCTGTGATTTCAGAAACATAGTGTGATTGCTTAGTCTCAGACTAAGATTTTAGCTCATTAAAAATTGTTCAACTTACATAGATCCAGAAACTTTATTCTGTTACGTATACTGATTTATACTGTATTTTCAATTTTCAGAAAGCTAACTTAGTCTGATTATTCTAGACAATACAAAGTACACTCAAAACCTTCTCAGAAGCACTTACTACAAAAGGAAACAGCACAATCGGAAATCCTGTGCTATAAAACCCTACTGAACACTTCCACTAACCACAAGCGTGCGATGACTCGGGCAGAAGATGATCTCAAATAAGTAATTCTCAATCCTGTAGACACTTTTAACTGTACCTGGAAATTTACAGGTAGTGAAACACCAAGTCCCGGAGCACAACACCGAGAGGCAGCAGAAAGGACGAGGAACAAAGACCCCAAAAAGTCCTTTAACAGATTTAACTGCTCTGGGTTTACTGTGTAAGAATCGCTCTTCCCCAACATCAGCTCCTAAGAAGTTTCACGGTTAGACCTCTCCAGGCTTTCTATACTTCTGGAGCAACACTTTTTTTCTTAGCTTTGTACAATTTAAGGGAAAACTTTCAATTCACTTAATCTGTCAAACATGTAGCTAAACTAGCCAAGCATACAGATTGTTTCATTTCTAGAACAACATAACTAATACCTTAGCGGAAAAAAGTTATCCTAGTCTAGAATAAAGCTGTGGTCAAGGTTTGAAGTAACTATCAGTCAGGACCAAGAAGAAAAACATGTTGCAACTATAATGTAGGCTTGTAGAGGGAAACAGATTAGGAAAAATAATTTCTGAAAGACTTTAAGCTTGGGGTTGTGTTTTGGTTTTTTATTAAAATGTGACTTACAGCATGTATGACTGTGGAGTTCCTATGTCTATCACTCCTTTACTCTTGGTCTGGTTTTGCAAGAAACAAGTGACTGAAATTCAGAAGATAATTTTGCTAATGCTATCAGACAACAAAAACTATGTAGCAGATCAGTTTTAGTTCACACTTGCTATGTGTTGTTGAAACATGTACTAGAGCAGAACTCTACTCACTTATTTCCCAGTCTCAATTTTTCCTCTCATTCTGACAGAGCAAGGATGTTCCTTTTCCTTTTGTTTTGAAAACAGCCTCTACTCACACTGCTCAAGATAACTCCTATTAACAAGAAGAAAGCTGATCTCACGACAAGGACTGTGCTCCCACGATCCATGCCTGTTACACTAATTCAGGCTTACAACACTTTCCCTCTTCAGCATGTTCTTGAGGACGATGTGACAAGCAGCTGCTTTATCTTCAGCAAGGTATAAGCATGTAGCATTTGTCACATGCACTTCACTGATTTCATCCATGTGTGTTTGGGGGTGTGAATTAGGGAGAGCAAGCGGGAGAGCAAGAGAACGCTCCTTCTCATTCCAGTTGCCAGAGCTGAACTCCAGAACCTGTCAGGCAGCAAACACCCACAGCAAGTACAAGAAACACAACTTGGGAAACCAAGCAGGATCCAGGAATAGCATTCAACACTACAAAACTCATCAGATTGCTATGCCTGGACTTCTCCCATCCCTTTGCTGAGAAGAGTCTGACTCCCCCCTCTCTGTAACGACTCATGAAGAGCAGCAGTAAGATCCTCTTTCAGCCCCCTCTTCTTCAGGCTAAATACTCACAGCTCCCTCAGCCTCTCCACAGACACCAGCAAACACTGTGGGTGGCCCTTCTCGGCTCCCCTTCCAGCTCATCAGCATCTTTCTTGTACTCTGGGGCTCTAAACCGGACTTCTGGTCTGCAAAGTGCTGAGAAGAGGGGAATAAATACTTCCTCGATCTAATGGCTGTGGCCTTGCTAAGATAGCCCAGAATGCAGATGGCCATCACACTCACATCTGACTTACCATCCGCCAGAAAAAGGCCTCCTCCAGGCACTTCTCTCCTGTAATTTTGCTCCCCTCGTAACAAGTCCAGCATTTGTCCTGATCACCCATGGTATGTCAACAAAAACACTCCATATCCAAGCCCAGGGGTGATTTCTGTTATTGCCCCACTGAACACCCAACGGCAGGGAAGAAGGGAAGATTGTGTCTCCACGATGAAACAAAGCAGAGGATGCTCCACACTGAATAAAGGTCCAACATCGTTCATAGATGCTACTGACAGATAACGTTATTTTGGTCTGATCCCGCTTTACAGCCTTCTACCCTGTGACTGCCCAGAGCAGCTAAAATCACAAGATAAAGCACACCGTCTTCTAGAAACACCAGAAACATCCCTCTGATTAGGACCTCATCCAAGCAAAGAGAGACTGCCGTGCCCTCCTCGTCAGAGGTTTTCTGACATGTCACCATCCAAATCCAAAAATCCCAACAGGGTGCAGTACCACTAAGTCTCACCCTTAGTGAACTTAGGGGCACAATCCCTTTGTAATACGAGCATATACCCTTCAATAATTCATTTTAACCGACATCACTAACGCATTTCCTGCTGTGCAGTTCAAACTAAATATTTTTAACTTCTAACCTGGTAATAGCGCAGCTCGCATACAATTTCACTAGATGAAAAAGACGCAATTTCTTGTTTGATAACACACAATGACCAACCCTTAAAGGCTTTAGGTGAAGTGGAAGCAAGGCTAACATACAATCCCCTTCACTGACTTTAGCATAGAATCCAGAAAAGTCCTGAACTGAACTACAGCAGCGGGCGTCAGCTGTGACACGGGGTTAACCGAGACCCTGAGGGTGGGTCAACAAAAACAACAGCCAGGACATGCCCCTTGCAGAAATGAACCGCTT